AGAAGATTCAGAATTTCTGATTCCCCATGGAATCCCTAAGAATATAGTTGTGGAATCAGAATTTCTGATAAGCCAAACAACCCGAGAGAAACTTCATACTTTTCTCTCTGGTCTCAAAGCAGTGAAATGCCTCAAAATCTGAGGTTGGAGTCAACACATGGTTCTGGAGCAGTGCAAGGACTGATTGTTCCAAAACTTTATTCAATCGCTAATGTTACATCCAATACATGCAGCGTCACATTAAATTTTATCATTGAAGGTTTTAGTTCTTGCTGCCCACCTGAGCTATGTCTGATCAAAATTGTTTTTCTTGATAACACTTTTTAATTTGAAATCATTTACAATATCATAATTTTTTTTTAACAGATTCCATACACTCAGATTATCTTGAAAGAGTGCTGAAGAACAAGCTTCTTCACAGCAGCCTACTATATGTAACTGTGAACAATACACAGTCATATACTGCACTGATGTATGTGTCACAGGTCAAATTTGATTTTAGGTTAATTTTGATTTAATCTAGGTCGATTCTCAATTTCCTTTGTTTCCTAACCCTAATTCATGAATATTAGGGCTAGAAGACGAAGGAAATTGAGAATGAACCTTGGTTAAAAAATTTAACCTGAAATCAAATATGCACATACATAGTATACACATAATATGCGCCAGCTCTGACCTCAACAATACAGTGCTCATTACAGTAGCTGTGAATTTAATGAACACTGTACTGAAGAGACCAAGAAAGTACAGAATTGCCCAAAACTGTAAGATTACTCAAACTGTGCAGCTGACCTTAGCATCACTGTAGACTCCATTGTCTCTGTCAGAATTAGCATACTTACATACACTTTATTTACACAACATGGAACTGATCTGTATGGGAAAGGAAAGTCATATTAAGCTGCAAGAGTCTATACCTGAAATTTTTCTGGTACAATCCACATCCAGATTCCCATGGTCTCGGGATCCAATTCATGTCCGAGAGGAAATACCTCACCCTGATCAAATACCTTGCTCAAGATGTAAGATTTGCCTTTCCTGCACGGTCCAGCAATTGACACCACACACACCGGACCTAAAACGTCATAACAAACTAAATCATTACAAAAGGTGGCTTTAAAATGCTGTCCATCCCAGGTGAATTTGCCATTGGTGATGAACGTGCACCTGGTTTGAATTAGCAGTCTTGATGGCGCCTCTGGTGAATAAGTTTTTAATGCAATCAAGAGAGATTATTTTCTCTTGATGCTATTATATACCAAAGTTGCCAAAAAGTGAAAAAGGTAAAGGGAGCGTTACCCCAGAACCAAGAGACTATAAAGGGGACAGAGAGGGCATCCCCCATATACACCCTATTCCATAGGTAATTCGTCTCGAGTTATTTTTAACACCACAGATCTCAAGGGGGATTAGACAACAGCCAATCACATAGCGCGAATGTGTTCCGCGTGGATGACCCACGCTGAGAGCCACGCGTCCTTCACGAAATGACGCAGAACAAAATGGGGGAAGACGCGGAGAGCGATTTTGCTATTCCTTTTGTCGACGAAAACGACTACAGCGAGATTTCTGCGAAAGCTGTGTCAGCGAAACCGAAATTAAAAAAGAATCGCCCTTCCTCTCTTGTATAGAGCTAACAGTAGAGCAGGGAAATCCTTAACACACTGAATATTCTCTCAGGATCATTTATAATTTACAGTTTGAAGAGAGCAATTTCTGGTTTGATGTTTATTTTTTTCAGTCTTTATAGCGATTATTCCTACCCACTTACTTTGTCAATTGTAGGCGAACCCTCCTAAAGCTGAATTTCAAGGGACCATATTCAAGCTCAGAAAGAGAAATAAAATTTCGTCGTTGCTTATTTACGTCCTCCATAAAACGCGAAATTAGGCATTTTCACGTCGTAGTCGTGCAAAAACGGGAAAGAAATGAACAAAAAAGTGTGTTGCACGTGCGAAGTTGTTGTTTTGCTAATTAAACCTATTGTTTTTTTGACGTTCTAGTTGTCGTCCGCGTCGTTGGATCTTAAACTCCCTAAATTGTACAAACGACCGGTTTCAATAGACCGGCGAAATTTCTCATTTTATTAAAGCACTGAGGTTACGACAACTTCGAGTTAAACTGATTTCACGGGTTGTCAAAGAGTCCAGCGATTCCTTTTTCCCAGGTGAGCGCCGACTCATTTCGCTTCAATATTCAGGAATGCTCTCGATCTTTTTACGCTTTCATTGCCTCTCGCCCGACATGTTTTGCACGGCGTTTGGTCATGCGAAACCTCCACGAAACATCCACGCCTCGCGCGAGGTAACTTTATCCCGATTCTAAAAATAACTCGAGACGAATTACCTATGGAATAGGGTGTATATGGGGGATGGCCTCTCTGTCCCCTTTATAGTCTCTTGCCCAGAACTCAATTTATTTGTGTCTTTTCCATTTAAAAAAAAGAAGAAGAAAAATCTTTAAGGGATCTGCCTCCGCTACATCTGACCATGAAAGAAAACGTGAATTTTAGAGAAAAAAAAAAGTAAAGAAAAATATTTTATTTTTATTCCGTTCCTCCAACCTTTAATAGCTTTCAGCTGTTCCAAAGCAGCGTTGATCACATTAAGTTTGTTCCTATCTTGATCCTCGTCTTTGCTGTATTCACCGGTCTGCTCATCCCATTTACAGTTATTTGGGAGACACAGGGGAACTGCTGAATGTTCGGACATTTTCGCCTACAATTGACCCTCAGTTGACGACTGCAATAGAAGGAGAAACACCCTTTTCTTTCTTCGTACAGTATTTCATTTGTTACTATTCAATAATGGACTGGATTGCTTTAGTTAAAACTTGTCAACGTCTTACTTATTGGTCTTTTACATATCCTTACAAATAAGTGAGGAATCAAGAGTGCATTTTATTGTCCGTATTGTAATCCATTAACAACAGTTTCCTTGGGTAATGGTTAAATATGGTTTGCAAATTAAAACGTGGCGTGTATCAACTTCACCAGTTCACCTTAAGGACGTTGCGGGGGACCCTCCTTATGCTTTAGTTAATTCACGCCTGTACGAAGAAACAGGTACAAAGGTATGAGGAGACATTAATGTCAGCCAATTCATAACGACGAACAAAATAATAAAAAAACAAACTTTGCCATCAAAAGTCCTTAATTGCCATATCACGAAGTCGAACGACAGCCAACACAGGACACCCTGTCAGCGAGCGCAAGAATTGCTGGGAATAAAACATTATCTCGACCTGGGGAAAAACATGGACAAGGCCAAAGAACTTGCGACGTCAAAACCAGTAAAGATCCAGGTGATCGCTGTATCGCAGTTAGAAATATTTTGTGCAATACTATCGTGATCCCCGCAGGCCTACTGCATTAGTTGATCACATGACCAACTTTCGGTAAACACGAAAACAGCTCGCTTTTGATAATGTTGTTAGCGCGAGCCGAAAGAGCATATTAAAATTAGGCAACCTGTAAATAGACCTATTCGGCGCGCTAACTCGGCCGCCGAAAATTACAAGGATTTGTATGGGTAAAACAACTTTTGCCACCCATTCACGCCTGGATGGTTTTCAGTACAAATCCTTGTAAATTTAGGAATTTTTAAACTGTCTTGAAATATTTCTTTAAGCATTACGGAGCTCAAAACTCCTTTAAATTTATAACAGGCAAATTTGAGCCCTTCAATGCGTAAGGGAAAGTTAACGACAGTTTAAAAAATTCAGAATTTACAAGGCGGTCGTATGGAAAACCACTTAAGTGTGACTGGGTGACAAGAGTTGTTTTTCTTGACGGTCGTTACAATCGCTACTTTTGAGATATACGGCTGGAAATTTACAGGTTGCCTTATTTTAATATGCTCTTTCAGCTCGTGCTAACAAAATATTTCAAGAGCGAACTGTTTTCGTGTTTAGCCAAAGTAGATCAGGTATTGCCAAAGGCCTACTGGTCCTCTGCCGCCGGAAAATGCTCCCCGCTGTGGAGTGCAACCGTTCACGAAAGGGGAATACCGAGTCGTATTGTTTCGCTTTTATGACCATCCCAGAGACTTTTGAAGGAAACTCAATCTATGTAATCTATTTTGCTGAAGTCATATTGCGTTTTCATAGAAAAGGAAAGCGTTGTTTAACGGGCAGCTGTCATCAGCGAGTAGTATGACCATGAACAAATCTCTCCCAAGACTACCCTTCCTTTCAGCCTCGCTTCCGTTGCTCCTTGCATAAAGAACGAGGTAGTCGTTCATGTTTTGCTTTCGTTTTGTTTTTCTCCCTTCATTCGCGATATTTTACGCGATACACAGTTGGGTATATATCTAACCAATCATAAATTGACGTTATAATTTTGTACTGAGCAAGTTTCAGAATAATTCATTATTGCTTCCTCGATATTCTTAATTAATATTCTTAATATATATTCTGGATATATAGATACAAATTAAGACGGAATCCATGAGGAAATTGAGTAATTTCAAATGCCGAGGACAAAAACCTTGTACCAGAATAATTTAAGCAATAACTCAATTTCCTGATGGGTTCCGTCTTAATTCTCTTCGATTCAGGAGCTTCGATTAGAATAACGAAAACGAATTGACGGAAGTAACAATACTATTTGGCGAAAAAGAAACTTTGTCGTTTCGATGGTTTGAAGCTCCTGGTTTGTGGATAGGGTGCAGTTTAATAATTACTTACCAGTCGACAAAGCCAGCATGTACTAACTGACGGTTTCCCTACCGTTTCCCTTCAGCTGACAATGAAACTGCTGTGGTGGCTGCTGTTTCAAAGAAACTATCTTGAATTCTAAGTAAACTTCCGCTTCCGGTTTACGGACGGCGAAAGCGAAACAAGCGATGTTTGCAAATGTACCTATAGTATGTTTCTGACAAATCGGGTATTCCCCTTCTTAGGTTTAACGCAGCTGATTTGCTAAAGTCCTTTCGGATTTGACAGCAAAACATAAGTAAGGGCAAAAATGATTGGTTTTATGTCTCTCTCTTGTAAATAGCATGAAGTCAGTGGCTAATTATATATCATGTGTTTATGCATGTACGGTATTTCTGAGAATGCGAAACAACCCCATACAATTTGGCATGGTCTTTAGTTAAAAGGAACTCAGTACTTCGGTAACTGCATCTTTTCACAGCCGCGTAAACTTCACTGAAGGTAAGTATAAAATCTGCAGGTCAGAATCAATATATTGCGAAGTATGTTTAAGAAACAGTCGAGCTTTTAATCATAAAGACTAGGTAAGAAAACAGTATGGGTATTAGCTACCGACATAATTTATTCACCTCGCTCAGCTATCGAAGACTGTAGAGTTAGTTATTTAATAAGGAGCTGATTTAAGACTGACGCAAATGCCTCTGTTCGAAGTAGGATGGAAAAAAGAATATAAATTTTGAATAGGGACCAGAAGACCGTCATGAATTTTCCTCCGGTCAGATGTTGCATCTGAGGTATTTTGTTTTTCGAAAGCGCGATCAGAACCTCTAATTCAGAGAAAGGTTACCCACTCTGAAGCATAAAAATAAGTGTGGCGGAAATAACGAAAGCAAGAACGCGACCAGCAAAACTGTTTCAGTAATATACTATTGTATCATGCCGTCACAAAACAACTTCTGGTCGGGACTTTCCCTTTGTTTCACTTTCTAGCATAGTTAATTTCTGGCTATGGATGCTTGATTTCTAAGTTAGCATTACTGTCTTATTAGGTATCAAAAAATTGTTAAGCATGCTAATAATTCATGCTTATCACGCTTAGTGAAAAATGCTATTTTTTCTTGAGAATAATATTCCATTAGCTGAAATGCTGAAAATGTTGTATATTACTATGACAAAATTGTGTTCAAACTCTAAGAACTAATTTCTAATTCTCCCTTTGGAACGCATCAGTGCACAGTTTAATATTCCGAAGTACGTTACATGATCAGCATGCAGACTTTAAAACTTCAGTATCATTCTGAGCCAACACTAAAAAAGCGTCACGCGCATTTTCATGTGTTTCACGCGGCTTACCGTATGCTTTTCGCTAGAATGTCAAAATTTCTGACATAGGGAAAAAGCCTTTAGGTCCTTTAGTCAAAACCGTCTCTCCTCCAATGACCTTGCCCTCTTAAAAACAGTATGATCGTTGGTACTCTGGTGATTGCCCTCTGGATCCTTCTTTGAGTAATGTGCGAAAGAGTTATTTTGAAACCGAAGTTGAGGTCGTCCCACGGGTAATCAAAGATAGTCCTGGATTCTGGATTCTACACTGTGAATTCCGGATTCCAAGTACTAGAATTCTGGATTCCTTATCGGTGGAACTTGGATTCTCGATTCCAATCGTAAGAAAGATGCAGGATTCCAAAGCCCACGATTCCCGATTCCACATGAAAAGAATTCTCGGATAACGGGTTCCACAAGCAAAACTTTTCCGGATCCGGGAAACTGGCGGTACTTACCATTTACTTCCACTCGGGTGGTTTGTGTAAATAAATGGTAAGCTCCCCGGGTTTCCTTGCATGGGGCGATTGCAGAGGTAATTCCGAGCGGTGATTCTGACCTGATCGTTCACAGTCAGTTTACATTTTTTTTTCCACACAATTGGAGGTTTTCACACTAGAGAATGATTATCCGTCCAAGGTGACTGAGTTATCTGTTGGGTAATCCGTGTCAGACGGATGTGATAACTGGATGGTTTTATTTTTGGATGAATCATTCGTGATGATATATTTGTCTGTTTAGCCGTCCATCCAGACAGCAAACGGTTAACCCCATTAACAATTTAGCAGGTACATTTTCTCTTCTCTCTGTTTTTTTAGGACCTATTTTGTCTCTAGTTTATCAGACCTTTAGGAAGGACGGTAAAATAACACAATGTCAGGAAGCTGTGCCGTACCACTGTGCCTTCCTAACAACTGTAGGTGGGACGAACAGACTGGTGAATACAGCAAGGCTGGAGGGGAAAGGCAAAGCCTCTATGTAGTCGACAAAGCTCTCGACAGGCTAAGAAGCATCAAAGGTAACCTGTTATACTCTTTAAAATTTCGTCTGACATTTCCTTTTGTTATGCTACCCATTCTTTTACTCTTCCTAGCTCTTCCTTCTATTTTTTTCTTGTGTAATCCCCAGGTAGCGATCGATAAATCACGAGTGATGTTGTAGCTTATTCAGTAAACGGCGGGCTGTTTTTCTCTGCTTTGTTAACGATGTAATTAACGTTCACTGAATTGAAATAGAGGGCAATACATTTTTGAGCGACGCACGTCAACTGGAAGTGAGGCATTTGCCTTTTCCAAGCCTAATTGCTAAGTGTTTTTAATCTTATAAAGACGATTTTCTAAAAAAAGAATAGGCAAAACCAATGCCTACATAAGGATGCAAAAAGTCTACGTTTAGTTGACATGCGTCGACGGCTCAAAATCGATAACACCGTTCGGATGCGGATCCAGAAAATTAAGGAAAAGAGGGCCGCGGAGGACTTTTCAATTATTGGCTTACTCTGTCCGGAAAGCAAGCACTCTTTAGGCTCTTTAGGTTATTAAATCATCAACGAACGTAAATAATTTAGAGGTATTGAACTTAATTACTATCAGGATAGTTATTTATAACTGGTTTCTAGCCATAATGTTTTATTGCTTTTATTGTTATTATTATTATTATTATTATTATTATTGTCTTTATTTTATTATTATTTTTTAAACAGTTGAAAGAAACTTTTGAATTTTAGAGGCTGACAGTTTTTTTTTATTGACATGAAATTTTTTTAATTCGAATAAATTTTTCTTAGTTAAAGAACTCTTTCTAAGCTAAATTAAGTGCTTTTTAAATCGACAGGAATTGGAAATAGTGTTTTAAATGAATAGTTTTTTTCTTTTTTTCAAGCGAATTAATTGTAAATAGGATTTTAATAGTTAGCATTGTTGTCAATAAAATTTTTTCAAAAAAATTATTATTATTATTATTATTATTATTATTATTATTCTAACCATTGTGGTTTTTAGTTGAGATCTTGAGATCTTTCGTACACACACTAACTTAATTTCCAACTCAATTTAGGTCCCGTTTGTGTGGTGTCAATTGCTGGGCCTTGTCGCAAAGGCAAATCGTATATCCTCAGCAAAGCATTTGACCAAGGGGAGGTTTTCCCTCTTGGACACTTTCTGGACCCAGAGACGATGGGTATCTGGATGTGGGTTGTGCCAGAAAAGTTGAAAGTAAGCTCTTAGTAATGATGACGTCTGGTACGATATACTAACTGCTGATACATCTATCCCAGTAATGCTGGAGATGACTTGAAAAGCCAGATCTGACCAACTATTTGGTGTGCATGGTTTGCTTGTCCACCTACACTAGTGCCCTTGTCGCTAGCCTAAGATCTATGAAATACTGATAGCGCATATTAGTTCAGAGTTCTTAAGGCCAATTTTTCAGACTCTGGGCCTGAAAAGTCTTGCTCCATCTCTCGAAACGCATTATTAATTATTGTACATTATTTTCCGTATGAAGCCCAACCCATCGAAACCTATTTTCCTTTCAATGCATAGGACGCCAGTGGCCAGGAATTTACAGTAGTGCTGTTGGACTCGGAAGGAATTGATGCGGTGACCAGTGATGGTTCCGATGATCACTGTATATTCACTTTGACCATTTTACTGGCTTCAGTTTTGATTTACAACTCAGCTGGCGTTCCTACCCGGACTGACCTTGATGGACTTGAGTATCCTTGAACAGCTAATACTTCTGTCGTACTTACTTGTGTAAGGTTATTAGTAAGCTTTGTAGTGAAACAATACTCATTTAGACGTGTATTGAAAAAAAAAAAAAGAATACGGATCGCATCCAAAGCGATCTCTCTAAAAAGAACTTAGTTGGAACAAGAACTAAGTTTCTGTTTCAGAGAGGTGCCCGTCTCATAAACAGTCGGGCAAATTAAAGAAAAAGCTGTAGGAACAACAGCAGGGACCAATCCTAGGCATCCTTTAAAGTGAGGTGTATGTCTGCTAAGAAAGAATTGATTGACAAATATAAGAGGTAACGGGAGTTTACATGGATATAGTTAACATTCCTTAATGACTCAAAGCTTCATAGTGAAACTTTCTCAGCGAATTCAGCTTCACTCATCTGATTCAACAGCCTCCGCATTGCAGCAGAATGACGATGCAAACCTTTTCCACAAAACCTTCCCATTCTTCATTTGGCTGTTAAGAGATGTTGTGCTTGCACTCCCTAAAGATTGTCACAATATCAAGGAGTATTTTCTGACAAGGGTAAACGGAAAATTATTTACAAAGAGTGTGTTGATATAGCTCAGGAGACTGCATAAGAAAACACTAAACCACCACTAGTTTCATTGCGAAATAACGCATGAGGAACGAGCAACTGAGAAATTCCATAAACTAATGACGTAGGGTGTCACTACACAGCTGATTGGTAGAGCCGTCAAGGTAACGTGCTTCAACCAGTCAGAGGCACTTCTCAAATCTTTTTGTTCGCTTAGCTCAAGATCATTTCTTATTTCCTGAGCACCTGATTAGAATCATATTTATCATCGTGGAAGGGAAAGAAGTCACACATGAGAATCGATCGTTAAAATAGGCATAAAGACACTCTTACTAGCCAAATAACTTACAGAATGTTCGCATATTGCACGGAGTCTAACAAATCCTTTTCGGCAGATAATGGTAGATCTTTTTGTTATATAACATAGTAATAACCTTCGTCAGCGTACTAATGTGAAGCTAACTTACCACTTTTTCAATCGATAGGTGTTTAACTCATCAGCAGACTCAAAAGGTGAAGTCGCATCTAAAGTGGCCGAGAGCATTTTGAATTTCTTCCCTGGGTTTGAGGCCTTTAAACTTCCTCCTCCTTCTTCTGATCCAGAAGTTGTATTAAATCTTAATCGAGAAGAGGTGCAGGGTGACGTAAACAAGTCGTTTGTGCGGGGAGTGGAAGAATTCAAGGGGATGCTGAGGTCCAAGTTAACGCCCAAACGCAGCTTTCGTGATGGAGAATATGTAACTGGCGAAGGTAATAACTGAAAATGTAAACCTATTCTCAGATATGCACATCGTGGCTCTTCTTTATGTTCTTTTGTTCGTTCTAATCTATTTTCGCTGGTTTCAGGTTTCCATTAATGTCAAAAGTACGACATTGATATAGTAATACCTTTTTCGTTTTTTTTCAAGATGAATAACACCGCACCTGGTCATTTATAAAGGAATTTTAAGTAAAGTTCAGATACAACACGCCCTCTGATTGGTTGAAAGCGTGCTTTATGAGAGTATAAAACAAAGAGCTAAAGTTTACTTTAAAAAACAAGAAAGTGATGCGTGAGGAATTTAACGGTTTCTAGAGCACTTAAGAAGTAGGGAGAAGCAGTCTCGTGTTTTACCGTTGCATTATACCTTTCGTTCGTGCTCTTGCCGCTTCCTGCGTACTTCAGTGGTGCTTTACAACATGTAAAACGGAGTAAAGTCAAGGCTTCTTTATTTGTTAAGTAAATGGTAAGTTGTGGCATTATATTTTTGTATGGCTGTTGAATCAAGTAGATTGACCTGAGAGTCATGCTTTAGGTGTAACTATCCGATTGACGAAAGGCTGTGAGATATCATCGCATCATAACCTTGATTATTTTCTGAACTTTTTTTTTTTTTTTTTAAGCTCTAGCAGCTCTCGTCAATATTTACGTTGAGGCATTGAACACTCCTGGAACAGTTCCCAGTGTACAGAGCGCCTGGGAGACCTTTGTGCATACCAAGTGTTCCGAGGCAAAAGCTATCGCCATGCAGATCTATCAAAGCGCCATGTCATCTCAGCTAGATGGAACACTGCCTCGTGAGAGTGACGAGATTCGCCAAGTTCAGCAAGCGGCCATTGAAGAATGTATGGTTAGTTTTCAAGCTGAGACAGTTGGAGTGTCTGCTTTAAGCAGTGAAAAGTACCTGGATGAACTGACGGTAAGGAACAGTATGAGATCGCCCCATATAAGAAAATTCGGATTCCGGAAGCAGGGGAAATTTTACTTGTGGAATATGGAATCCTAGGCTGGGAATCCGGAATTTAATTAACGATTGGAATCTAGTACCTGGAATCAGGAATCCACGTTGTGGAATTCAAAATCCAAGACTGGTTTGGATGTCTTTACATAGGAGGGAATATGGTGTCAAATCTGTGCTTTGTAAATTAAGGCCCATGTGTGCCCAGATCAATACTCAATAGAAGAAGAAGAACAAGAAGAAAGTAATTCAAAGTAAAAATGGCACATGTCCACTGAATTTTCTGGGGTGCATTAAAACTAACATCTGACGAAACTGGTAACGTCTGGCGTAAAAAAATAAAATAAATAAAATAAAAAAAACAGAGTTTGATTAGGTTGTACGTCAGGCGTAGCGCTGAACCTCTGATCTCTGCCCTTAAAATAAGAATTTGACTGGGCTGAACGTCAAACATTACTTGCTACGTCCGACGTCATAATTTATGCAACTGACCCGTGATCCTTACAGAAACAGTGTAAAATAAGGAAAAAAAATTAATTTAAACGCGCACCTTTCTCTACCCATAGGAGCACATGGAAAATGGCCTGAAGCATTGGCTGGAAGAGAACAATCGTTTAACAAGACAAGAGTGCCACAAGCTGCTGCGTGATCTGAAAGAGCAGCATTTGGATCCTATCCTGAGACAGCTCAGTGGGAAAGATGGAGCTTCTGTCACCTTTGCTCAAATAATTGGAGGTTACTCTGCCATTGAGCAAGGATTTAAAACTCATTCTAGAGGAGCCAAGGATGTGTGTGCTCAGATGTTTTACGAGTTCCATCCGGTAAGTTTATATGTTCAAATTCCATGTTTAGGAGAATTAAAAGAAATACGTTTCTTTTTTCAGATTGAGTTATTAGACACAGTAAATGAACATCAATAATGTGAAATGTTCTCGAACAGTTCAGTAGCCTTTAGTTTACGAGCTCAGATGCCCTCTCCCACAGACTTGAAAACCCTTCAGGAGGCACCATCTCTCATATCTGAGTCTTATAAACTATCCTGGACGTGCCTAAAATGTGGTATTGGTATATGACCTTGTGTCATTCCTCGCTAGAAAACTGATAAGAAACTCACTTAGTAGATGGGAACATCTCAAGGACTTTTAGCATAACTCTTTTTATATTTACTACTATCAAGTCCTAAGATTGCATATCTCTTGCCTACATAGGAAATGCAAAAGGAAATGGAAAAACACATGGCGCACTTGCAACAACTGAAAGACTTTGATGAAACTTTAGCCCTAGAGAGAGAAGAAAAAGCCCGTCAGGAGCAGGAAAGGAGAAGGATTGAGGTAAAAATAGTAAAATAACTGAGCGCGTTTTTAGAAGCGTGAACAGGTAGAGGAAGTTTTACAGTAAGGATGACCATTGAACCTGTTCATCTGATTGACAAGTAGAGACGACATTTTTACTAAAAAATGACTTCAAAAGTAAACTCGAGTATTTGTAAAAAAAAAAAACAATTTAGTCTTCAACTCTAAAATCTACAAAAAATAGGTTTATAACTTAAAAGCACAGCAGACTTTTAAAAAAAAAGGTTATTGAGAGACACTTTGTCTAAACTTAATGAAGGAAACTGCACTTTTGTTATATTTAGTTCTTATACGCCTCGATTGATACTGAAATGAACACTTTTTTTCTGTATATTTGTTTTCGTTGCGTTACGTTAAAAAAAGAAACAAACCACATTACTGATGGATCATTCTTTAAATGTAGTAACTCTTTGGGAATCAAAATTAACCAAGTGTTTTTTTTTTTTGTTTTTTTTTCTCGGACCGGTATTTCAATGTTCGCTTGCAGAATGCACTGTATACCAATTAATCCTCAGTAGAGATCTATTTCAACAGGGCTCAGTACAACTTCGATGAATTCGTGATCAACTACGAATTTTTTAAGGCCTCTTAAATATAGTTGTAATCACCTCATAGAGGCGTGTTCTTTTCAATCCTCACTTTTATTTTTAATTTATCTAGGAGGAAAACGCGCGCCTCGAGGAGGAACGTCGCACGAAAGAGAAAGAGGTTTGAACAAATTCACTTTTACGTGTAAACATTTCCTGCTGTAAAATACTACTTTTTCTGTCTTCCTGGTCTCGAGGTATTTGCTATAAGAAAAATGATATCGCTCTTTTGTAGATGGAGCTTCTACGGATCAAACAAGAGGAGGACAGGAGACGCTTGGAAGAACAGTTTAAAGCAGACATGGAGGCTCAAAGGGAACAAATGAGCAACATGATGGCGGCAAACATGGACGAACTGCGAAAGGACAGGGAAGCAATAATTCAGCAGAACCAGACGCTCAAGGAAACAATGGGGCAGATGCACGAGTCTATGGAGCAAAGGAACGCTCAAATGATCGAGCTTCAGAAGCAAATCACTGCACTTGCTAACCGCCCACCTCCACCACGACCGAAAGGTCCTTGTGTTATTCTTTAAGATAAAACTTTGTTCTTTTCGTTTTGCTTAGCTGAAGGGATGATAAGGTTATAAAAAAAAACTTTTTTGAATAGTTCAAGTCTAACATTTTGAACTAAATTCATATTTAACAATTAATTACAAAATTCAAGCATGATCGCTTTCCAAGAGGAACTTCAATGAAATGATCTTTGTACTGGGATTCAGTACAACCTCGATTCCCAGACTAAGGAACTTGGTAAGGTCAATTATTTTAGCTTATTCTTCTTCCAGTAGTATAAACTGGCATCGATATCGCTGTATCTTTGACTGCTATAAATTAAAATGTGAACTGGATACAACCCTGTCCGTTTATTTTTCACTTTTTTGCATGGTTAGACGGGTGGCAGATGGAGGGGTTATTTGTAATAAGACGTCTAATGATGTAGGGTAACGTTTTCAAAATACGCATTTGGCAAGAATACGAAAGCGAAAGCCCTGGCATCGAAAAGCCTCTCCTGCATGTCCATTGTCCGTTTCGTTTGGATCGAAGAAAACTTTGTTGTTTCGTAACCAGCGCAAGACGCGAACAAAGAAATGAAACTGATCGATTTTATTAGTCGTTCAGCTCCTTCTCTGATTTAAAGCATGTGTAGCACCCGGTCACTGTCACTCTACTTATTACTAGAAATACGTAGATCGCAGGACCTCTCGAAGGACGTCGGGGGGACGGGCCTCCCTCCCATAGCAAATGCTGCATTGTCGAGCAGACGCGGTCGCTAAGCTTGAATATTCACGTCGCGTATTTATCCTGCCCGTTTGTGGTCATAGCGGAGCGTAAAGGTCAACAGTGTTTGTTGATGAGCGAGCGAATATCGTGCGGTTGCGATGGGCTTTCTGGAGCCGGCGAGGAAGACGCAGGAGCACACTTTACCTGCAGATTAGCCGATGGCAATATGGAGCGGATTCGTCGATTATCCTCAAATTTATAGTGCTTCGCGCGGAGATGGTCCATTTGCACGAGAAATCGCTTACAGATAGTAACATTGTTTCGCAGACGATGAATAAACAAGAACGCGCTTTCAGCGGCGTCAGTCTCGCTTGTTTGAAGATTAGATCGAAAAATGAGGAAGCGATTAATTCTACACGAAAGAGGATTTACTCGCTGAAGTATTTTTGCTTCCTACTTTATAGACGTCGATACTTTTTACTTTTTTCTGAATTGATTTAGTTCGCGAGTTAGCGACGACCGGAATTACGTCTACGGTCGCAGGCTATACGCGTGTATAGTACACGAAAATTCAAGGGCCCAGATTCCAGAGAAATTACATCATTTTCAGAGATCAAAAAAGTGATTTACTTGCACGTCATTTCAATCATCGCCAAAAACAAACCGCATGCTGAAACCCTTACACTATTTCAGACCCCACCTTTGATTTTTATTACTCTATTTCAGACCTGAAGCCCTGGAGCCCCGAAGGTGACGGGGTGGGGTGGAGGGGGGGGGGGGGANATCGCCAAATGATGAAGAAGTAGCTTCTTGTAAAAAACATACCCAATTCAAGACTAGAGTGACCACAGCTCTCGGATAAGGACGATTAACCCTAGGCCCCGTCTCACAACCCTTACATATATGAATTCTGTGGGACGTTAAAGAACCCACACACTGTTCGTAAAGAGTAGGGAGCGTAGTCCCCGGTGTGGTGGTCTAGCTCTCATGGGGTGAGGGACTGTTATGGGCCCGCAGTAATTGGCGTCATGCTGTTGCGGTGACTCTGCCAATAATTGCCGAATCTGATTAATTAAATTGCGAAATTGATTCCCTACTTCAGAATAAAACGGCTAAAAAACCATACCCTTTGGCGCCGTACATACCTATATAGCCTATATAAGGGAATACTACCTTTTACGTAGCAGAAGGACTATCCCTCTGCACTTGAAAATTGCTAAAAAGAGGCCATTTTTTTGTATGGAGGCTGACTTTGGGCGCGACTTTCTGGAAACCAGTAACAAAATCCTCAAAACCACGGACAGAATATGCAAGAGTGCTCTTTCCTTAAACAGAATACGTTTTAACTTTTTAAATTTATGGACAAGAACCACTATCCCTGCGAGTTTGAAAAAGTCTGGTAGAAACGCAACGTACCTAAGGCCAGCGAGCTATTGTTTTAAGCACAGGTATGAATAACAATGGGTGTCAAATAGAACAATACGAAACCACTCACCTGTGAAGTATGTCATTAGCTAGTGCCGCGAACTTTAAAATATATTAAAGAATCACTAGAGTTTATTAACACAATCTGCCACACGTATACGCTTGATCAGTACAATGAATAGAACGAGTAAAAGTGGATGTGATGGCCAGCATGTACTTTCCAGTGCAGGTATGCTTAAATTAAGAAAAATTATTATTATTGTAAAATGGTCCAGAGAAGCCGCGAACTTTTAAACTGATCGCGTTGTGTCAGCTGGTTCATTGCACTTGCCTACCAAATCTTGCAATGAACATGGAAAAAAAAATGTCACGGATCGGGAGCTCTTTTCAGAGCTCTTCGAAAACCCGATCCACCCTTTACAAATTCATATGGTTCCTCCATTTGTTGTTACTTACCCGCCATTTTGGTTAAATTGCTTTTGGGGGTCAAAATTATAAGAGCTAACATTTTTCGAATGGAGAAGCAAAACATTACAATCAGCCAAGAGTGTTCTGAGTTCCACGCTCAATTTTACTCACCTCGCAACGAGTTTATTTACGACATAATCGAGATCTCGCACGCACTAAAATAAATGGAAAATTTCACCTTTCTTTCTGTGGTTTAATTTTTGAACAAAATTCCGGTAAAATAACGCAAAGTGATTCTCATGATTTGAACGTTCACTGTGAAATATGGGCATATTCGCGATTTTGCGAAACAAAAGAGCTAAAAGGAGAAAACAATAGCGTGCTGCGTTCATTGTTTAGTTTGCCACCTACAACATATTGATGAGCTTCGTCGTGCATTCTTGGCAACCAATGGCTGAAGCGCTTTCATAGAGTCTCTGCATGATTGCGCGTAATATGACAGATCTACGAACTTTGTTGAACTGGAAGTAAGTGTCCCGAGAACAATAGGCATTCTGCGCGATGTGGGGGGCCCGGCCCCCCTTATTTTTAGACCAAACGGAGGCCCGAGAGCCGATATTTTTTATCCCACTCTCCTAGCAAAAACTAACAGAAGCGCGCTGCCGACTGTGAAGTTATGTCAGGCTCTTCTTTCCCCAAGGTGTCAAGGCACCGTCCCCGAAGCAAGAGTTAGTGGCGGTTTAAGAATATTACTTTAAACTGTTCCGGCCTTCTGTGTGACAGGTCGAATCAGATTCATTCATTCTCATTTAAAAACGGATCTCATCAGCATGCAGCAAGCATAACGGCAGCTAAAAGCGTTGGTAAAATGGACGGATATCAAATAGCACAGGTACTTTTAACAATTATTTTTATGGTTTTATATCAACGCAAGCTAAAAATCAAAACATAAATTGTATTTTACACCATGGGATTTAAAAACACAACTCCTTTAAGACTTGTTACTTTGTGAACCTACCATCCCAACTGATGCCAGATTTTATTGGAAATGTTGTAAGTTTTTCTCAACCTTACCTAAATCCCAAATATTGCAGCTGTTAGTACAGTATGGAGTATTCTATAGAATATGTTATGAATAAAAAGTAAACACGTTTATAATATATTGCTATTAAGAGAATTGTCTCTTGAACCAGTTTTGAATTAGGTTTCCGATGAGGTCTGATCGACTATATCAGAGAGAATGGAACTACATCTGATGACGGGTTTCTTCTGCAAAAAGACATATTGCTGTAATATTTATTCTGATATTGATTTAAAATTGAATGAACACATAATTTGCATTTGCGTATTTCTATTTACTGAGTGTCTTACAGGTCAGATTTTAAGGAAGGCTGATATTTTGTTCTTCTTTGCTAGTAAAAAAAAAAAAAGAAACAGGCACCTGGTATCACCAAAGGAAAACTAAAAGATTTCATGGCTAATTCCCAGAGCATACAGGCATGATGAATTCAACTCAAGAACTCTTAGCTTTACTGACCATATCACTCAAGAACAGAGAGAGTTGGCTGGCGATTTTAGAATCCGCTCTCTATTTGACAGTCATATTAACCGCCTTTCTGGGAAATACGTTATTCATCTTGGCATTTAGCAACACGCCATCGCTCCGCAGTTCTCAGAATTTCTACTTGGTATCGCTTGCAATTGCAGATATCTTAAACGCAGTTGTCTGTATGCCCATTACACTTGCGGTGTCCGTTAAAGGAAAATGGGACTACAGTGATGTCATTTGCCAGTTTCAAGGAAGTTTGATTTCAGTTTTTTCAACTGTGTCACTTCTCACTCTCTGTATGATCGCCATTAATCGCTATGTAAAGATTACTCGGTCTGCACATCTCTACAGGAGATTATTCAGCAAAGGGAACGTTTTGTGCTCCATCGCACTATCGTGGATTGTCACAGTTTTTCTCAATTATTCTGTGTACTTCGTCAGTAAAACGGTGCACTATTTTCACCCTGGAAAATGCTTGTGCTTTGTGACAATAGACCTTAAAGACAAACTCGGTATATACAGCGCCATTCTTTATTCAATCGTTGTGTCTGTGACATTTAATCCAATCGTCTTCAGTTATTACAAAGTGATTAGAAAAATTCGTGCACATTTTGTCCAAGTCAGATCTTCTTCCTTCCGTGATGACGACAGCACAGTTGCCTTCGCCGAAGAGGTCAAGATAACAACGATGTTGTTCGCTACCATTCTCGCGTTTTTCATCTGTTGGACTCCATCGGTTATCATAGATTTTTATGAGGTTATTGCTGGATACTACAAACTTCCACGGCAAGTCTATATGTTAAACATTTTTACTTATGCAAGCAGCAGTGCAATAAATCCGATAATTTATGGTTTCATGAGAAGAGAATTTAAAGAGGGATATAAAAGAGCCTTGTGTTTTAAGAGTTAACTTTAACTGTTGGAAATAAAACTTCAAAGTGTAGAATTCGAAAGGACGCTTAACAAGTACATGTCGATTCTGAACGGGATATATGCGTTCATTAAAATCATTTCTCTATAATAAATCGTGTTTTAGTGTGAAAGTGTATATATGTCATACTATTTGTTTAAAAAGATGTTGTTAAATTAGGAATAAGAGCACACGCAAATTACTAACTCATTTTAGGAATTCATTAGATGACTGAAAATAGCGAAGAAACAAGAAGTTTAAACATTAGCAGGTTGACAGAATGCTTATGCGTCAGGTGCCAATATTTCCTAGTTGCTTTGATGAATATGAATCTGAATAGGGTCTTCAAAAAATAACACATGCTAAATATAATGATAATAATAACAATAATGATACCAAAAAAAATACTTTATTAAACTCTTCTCAAATTGAAAATTAAATACAAATTTAACTATAGTTGAAAATGACCTCTTGGTGGTCTGGTGGTTTTCAACAGAGGAAATGTAAACAACTGTGTATAAACTAAAAAATGAACATTTCTATGTGCATCCAAATAATAAAGTATCTATAGCTGTTGAGTCTAGGGAAGCCCTGCTTGACCCTTCTCTATTTCTAGATCCAGTCCTTAACATCTAAGTTCCTCCTTCTCGGGCTTCTCGATCCCCTTAGGCATAGGAGCGCACTCCGCAAAATTGCAAAGGACACTTTCGCCCTGACCCATGAAATTGTTGTGGCGTAGCTCTCTTGCTTTTTTACAGATAACAGCTCGGCTAATCTTGAGTGGTATCTCATGAATCCTGTAGATTTGCTTGGCGCTAAGATCTCTATACGAGTCCGCATTGGGATGACACACCCTTATATCGTAAAATGCAGCCCTCTGTCGCTCCCAGAAACCCCTGTAATAGGTTGTAATTAAAAACATAATGCCGGTTCAGATCGCGTATTCATTGTGGCGCTGAATAACTCAGCCTCCACGCTGGCAGAACATCGCGTGATTTACTGTAAACATGCTCCCACAAACGCATACTGACGGATTATCGGGTATCGGCCAATCATATCGAAGCCTTACAGCAGCACGAAATTCCCGCTTGTTGAGATCAACTCCATGTCTTTGAGAGGAGTAACTGTAAGCTAGTTGGGTGCGCCTTTTTCACAGTCCAGGTCCACTATAATAATAGTAATAATAGTCTACTATAATAATAGTAATAATGGTAATGGTAATAACAACTAATAATAATAATAATAAAAGTAATAACAATAATAATTTCTAATAATAATAATAATAATGATAGAGGCACGATCAGGTTGCTAAAGTTGTTCACTGGAAACTCTGTCACAATTACGACCCGCAGGGCAGCTAAACTTGGTACGACCATTCTCCAGAGGCAGTGATGGAAAATGACCAGGTGAAATTACTGTGGGATTTCAGAATTCAAACAGACCATCATTTAGATCATAACAGACCCGATATAGTCGTACTGAAAAAGGCGAGCAAAGTGTGCCAAATCATCGATGTGGCATCTCCTTTTGATACCAGAATTGCAGAAAAAGAACGAGAGCCGTGCCGATTTTTTTGCGAGTGTAAATGGGGTTTAAGATAGGAACACCTAAGATCTTGAATTTACTCCAGAAAGCCTGCTTGTTAGGAACAGGAAAGATATTAAGAAGGATCCTAGACACTTAAGGCAATAGGAAATAGCTTAATGACCTAGGGATACTTGACCACCGATACACCTAGTGGTGTGAGATATGAACAATAATAATAATAATTTCTAATCATGCTTTGCATCCGTAGGCTGATGTTTACAGGCTTTACTTTCAAAGATCTGAGGGTGGTAGAGGATTAATGAGTGTTGAGGACTCTATAAAGAGTGAGATCAATGGTCTTAGCCGGGATGTTGAGAGTTGTAACGGTTCAACTGTTGGAGGAGGTGTACAAGGAAAAAAAAATTCTAAGATGTTATGCTAAAAGTTGTGAAACCGCATCATTACAGCAAGAAAGGAAAGAGCACTTCCAAGAGAAACAATTTCATGGGCAGTTTTGGAGGAACACAGCAGAAGTAAGAGACAAAATGACGTGGAAGTGGTTGAAAAAAGGCAGACTAAAGAAGGAGACGGATTAAGAAGTAATAGTACTAAAAGGATAATAGACAAGCAAAATGTGTCTGCAAAGTGTAAAATGTGTGGAGAAGGCGATGAGACAGTTAGCCATATTGAATAGGAATGCAAGAAACTTGCTCAAAAGAAATAGCGATGTTGGCGGCACGACAAGTTGGCGCAGGAGATTCATTGGGAACTATGTGGAAAGTTGGGTTATGACAGGGATGAAACATAATTTACAATGATGAGCCACAACAAGTGTGTGAATCCACTAACAACAAGCTGTTGTGGGATTTCAAAATACAGACTGACAACAAGATTGAACACAACAAGCCTGATATTGTGATACTGGATAAGATAGAACGCAAATTCCTGATAATTGATGTTGCTTGTCCACTTGACATCGGAGTGAAAGGCAAAGATAAAGAGAAAATTGAGAACTACCAATACCTGAAGCGGGAGTTGAAACGGATCTGGAAATTGAGCAGAATAACTGTTGTGCCAGTCATAATTGGTACATTAGGAACTGCCTCGAAAGATATAGAAAAGTGGTTAGCAGAGATTGTTGTCACATGTCGTTTGAAATCATTGCAGATAGCGTGTTTACTGGGTACGGCCAGAATCCTTCGCAAAGTACAGTCCTGCACACCTAAGGTCACGGGCGGTGACTTGATGTTTAAGGAAGACTCAAGCAATCCATGTAGAAGCTGTGTTTAATGACGATGATGATAATGATGATGATAACAATGGAAACTTTACTTGTGTTTTTGAATGTACAATTGTAAATCTCGCTACGTATAGGCAATTTGCAAATGCTGCTTGAGATTGGATTATTCAAACAAAGGACAAAACAAAACAAAACTAAACAAAACAAAAAAAAAAAGGAAAGAAAAAAAGAATAGACATCAAAATTGCATCAAGTCTGGGCTATCCCAGTCCTATTTCCACAACAAAAGATGCAGCATGTTGCTCTAATGGCTATATTTATCTTTTTTTTTTTTTGGATTATATAAAGTTGCTGCTTTAAGTCAATGCCAATGTAATTCATCATGTCTAAGAACGTGGAGCATTCATAATAATTGTATAATAATAACAATAATAATAACAATAATAATAATAAGAAGAAGAAGAAGAAGAAGAAGAAGAAGAAGAAGAATATAATGATAATAATTTTCGCAGAAATCCCTGTAAGTAGTTGCCTGCTGGACTAAGTAGTTGCCTGCTGGACTGCTGGCAATCTACTGGAATTTTTTTTAGGGCGGGGGGGGGCTTAACATAAATTGCTACGAACAGGAATAATGATCATGTACAAGTCAAGTTTTTATCAACAGGCTTCTCTTGTACTATTCTTAATTTAGAGGTAAGACATTTATCGCATTTATTATTTGTTGTTGCTAATTTGTCTTTGAGCCAACCTTCGGGTTATGCCCAGTCAGTTATGGCACTGTGAACTAATGCAGCTGAAGACAAAAGCCCCTTTGAACAAAACCATTTGGCGCGCAAATATTAAAATGGAAATTCCCAAATAAAATTATAATTAATCCAAGAGCAAAATAAACTCGCAGGTGAAAAGAAGAATGTCATAATTTAAAGTGAAAACAAATCATTGTCGAAAGCGGACATTAAGACTGCAAGTTTCCATATATACCCGTTTATTTTTTTTTATTATTGTTATTTTTTTAAACACATTATCTGAATGGCTTTTTTACCCCACAAGAAACGCAAGAAGATGCTACTGTGTTTTTGAGTTTAAAACTTGCGGTTGTAGCTTTTTATTACTATTATTATTTTGCTGTAAATCGTGATAATGATATGATACTTGGCGAGCGAAGTTATTACATGAGAAGTTCGAAACACACCGCCGACGGATTTCGTGAATGCGTCTTTCCCCACCTCATAGCAAGCAGCTCAGCCTCGCATTCGATGGTTTCTAAACAGCGCGTAAGTTTTTAATTAGTTGTTCATTGACATTAAAGAAAATGAAAATCACATTATTTTCCAACTCAACCTTTCCGTTTATTTAGTTTATGTTTACAAACTGCATCGATATATTCTGACACTCTAGCAAAAAATGCAAGTTTAAACTGTACCAGTAAATTATAATAAAACTATTTATCTCGTCAGGCTACTCTAATGCTACTCTGTGCATGTTTAATGTAACTGAAATTTCTTAATGGGGAAAAAATTGTTTTCAGTATCAAAAAAAATGAAAGGTTACATAACAGAGCACTTTGAAACAGCACCGGCAATAGTTCCTAAGCCAGTGACCACCTGAACTGCTTTATCAAAGAAACTTGGCTTTCTTACTTCCTCTTGTGTACCTTGGTTCTGCAGGAGCTGCAGCTTTAAACTCTCCACCATCTGCTGCATCTCGTTATTTGACTTTTGCATCTCTCCAAGTCTTGCATTCAATGTTTGATTTTCTTGCATGAAGGCTCTCCTATCCTCCTCAGCTTGCTTCATACTAGCTTTCAACATGTTATCCATTTGATCACGTTGAGCTTTTGCATCTGCCTCCATCTGCTCACGTAGTATTTTACCTTCTTCTTCAAACCTTTTTTGAAGCCGTTCCATCTGTTTTAAGAGAGCACAACCTCGTTTTTGGCTTGTACTTAGTTTTTTTAAGGACTTACTGCGAAACAGCATATCCTTAAAGGATGAGGACATCCGCACTAAGGTATGTGAGTAACCTGAAAATCAGGCCTGCCTTCGTCCATTTCTGGTAAGATAGTACAGAGTTCCGTAGCCTTTCCAGATGGCTTTTTTTGTTTTTAAAAGAAGAGTTTCAATAAAAAAGAAGATACAGAGAAGGATCTAGGATGTTGTTAATGGGTTTGGGGCAGCGTGGTGAGGCACCACTTGAATCTGATTTGAGAAAGGGGAAGTGCATTGAAGGGTTGGGGGGTGGGATATCTCTATTTCTTGTAAGTTCATTGGCTTCTCGGAGATTTCCCCGCCACAGTCACCTTCCCAGCTGTAAGTTATTTTTTGTGGCAAAAATAATAAAAGATAAAAAATTAAAAATAAAGGGTAGAAGTGTAAGAGGAATGCTTGGCACGCGAAGAATCTTGCTCCTCATTCTATTAATCCTCCCATGAGAGTTAACGTGGGAGCAAAAAGAAGCCTTGCCAACTTGTTAACTTCCGGCTTTGAGTGTTTAAAGCTACAACCAAATATGGACTGCCATGACTTACCTCCACTTGTCGTTCACGATTTTCTTGCTGCAATCGGGCGTGTTCCTCCTATGAAAAACAGGATACAGATAAAACTCTTGTTGAGATTAATAGAAATTATTCATAGTGATTTGAACCTACCAACCATAACTGAAGGTCGTAATTCCACAATCACAGTCAACATGATATTGCTAATAGTCCCGCTCAGTAAATTGATACCATCGCCTGCATCAGTACGCGGACAAAACGTCACGGTCTCGATCAATAAAAGAGATTATTGAATGGTTCTGTTTTCGCTATGCGATTGGTCAATTTGCGGTCCGTAACTTGCTTTACGGACCAAAATTTTTAAAGAAAATGCTCATTTCGGAGCTCTAAATCTCTTTAGCTCGGAAAAAAGGTTTAAATAAAGTTATAAGACGCCTGTAAAACCTTGAGGACTTGTATGTTAATTGACTTTGGCCTTCAACATTTTAAACTGTGTTTATTTGTGAACGAAGGCGATGAAGAAACTAACTCGTAATCTTATCGAAGAGGATTCTAGTCAGTGTTTGAAAATTTTATCGCAGTACACAGTTAAAAAAACAAAAATCGACTGGCAGAGATTCGAGATGTTTTGCCTAAGAGAAATGATTGAGTTCGAGCCAGACACAATGCCCAGTTTTCAAAAGACTCCAGCGTCACACTAAGAAGTGAATACTTACAGTGCTCTTAGTTTTCACCGAATAAACTTTAAAATATGTCTGTAAACCCTGAGGACTGGGATGTTGACTTTGCCTTTCCAAATTTTAACCTACCTTTGTTTTAATGAGAACGAAGCTGATGTAGAAACTGAATCGTAACCTTACCGAGGAAGAGAATTTTAGTCAGTGCTTGAAAATTTTAACGCAGATCTCAACTGAAGACGAGAATGAACTGGCAGAAAGAGAGGTTTTCCCAAAAACAATTAACGAGCGAATCCTTCGACAGTGACAACAAACTTCTTTGCCTTTTGCAGTATTTTCTTTACAAGGACAAACGGAGGAAAGGTGGAAACGACTTCTGGACAGACACAGTGTCCGGTTTTCAAAATACTCCAGCCTTACATTAAAGAGCTAAAACTTACAGTGCTCTTAGTTTTGACCGAATAAACTTTTCCAACATGGCGATTTTGTTTTTACTTCCTCGGAAAGCCTTTGTTATGTGCTATTGTGTTCGTGCGCCAATAAAAACTTTTTTTTTGACGCCTGTCAAATGACTGTCAAATCGTGCGTCCTGCACTTGTTTCCGGTCCGCCAAATAGGAAGAAGCCATATAATAAACATCTTATTAGCCTCGTTTTTTCGGTCGGTACTGTAACTTAAGGATCCTCATTTTTTTCATCGATTTATGGCCCAAGCGCGAAGCGCGCGGGCCATAAATCGATGAAAAAAAACTCGGTCCGTAATTTACAGTACGGACCGAAAACTCGGCTAATAAGAGGTATTTATCATGAAACAAACGATAAATCAGCTTAAAGAGTCGCTTATCGCAAACCTTTTGTATAAATACCCCCAAATGTCAAATCTGAAGTATAATAAATAATAATGAGTTGCAATACAGAGGAGAAGTGATGACTTCAAAACAGTTAAATTTGTCACATTATGGGGTTGGTCAGCATATTCAGAAAAAAAAATCATGAAAAATGTCCATTTGCTAAAAATCAGCCTGTTAAATAAATGTAAATTGATGGGGAGATATAAGCACAGTTTTGCTCGGATGACTCCGAGCAAAGTTAGCAAACCAATTTAGAAGCATTTGAATAGAGTAATCGTTGCTTAAACGGTGCCTATATTTCCCCACTAATTTACACTAATAGGCTGAATTTTGGCAAGGGGGCTACTTTGGTTCCTTCTAAATATGCTAACCAGTCCCATAATTTCATAAATGATGATTTTTGTGACGTCACAGTTTTTCCTCTCTATTCTTCTTTGCCAAAGCGTTAAATACATGTACCTCAAGCTTCATTCTTTCCTGTTCTTGGTAGGCTCTTGCGGCGATTTCTCTAGTCAAGTTTTCGTCGAAATCTTTGAGCTGTCGTAGTACCCCCAAATATCGCTGCATTTCCTCCATTAGAAGCTGATATGAATTTTAAAGAAAAGTGGTGCAATATATATAATACCAATTCTTATTAACTGGTCACTCTATTGATTGGTCATGAGTTTACGCCAGTGTCAGAAATTGTTTTTCCTAGTAAGAGTTAAACTAATTACCGATATCCCAACACCTCAAGCAGTTTTCAAGCTGGGAGAAGGTCATTTAGTGCTCAGTTCACCACAGTAGTAAAGAAAATCCGCCTCTACTTGTCTGTACTATTCTTTGGAAATTAAAAAAAGGTTCGAATATACTTCTCATTGTATTTATCTTGTTTTCTTGAAATACTTTTTGCCTGACCAAACATTCATGATGAGTTAAACTGTCTTTATTCCCCGGAAGGGGTGGTTTGCCCAGTCCCCGTTTTTGGCTGCCCATTTCGAGTTCGATTTTAAAACTTTCCTCTTTTTGTCTTAGAAGTAAGAACCTTAAAGTTTTTTACCGGATGAAATTCAAAGAAAACGGCAGCAGAAACATCTTTAGCCCCAACTGCTCGCACTTTGAAGTCCTGTTCAAGTCGGTTGTACCCTTGAATAATGTCCTCAAATGAGACTTGTGCACCTTCCCCTCCATGTAACTTTTCTAGTATTGGATCCAAGTGTTCTTGTTTGAGCCGCTTGAGAAGACTGGTGCAGGCATCTTGTGTTAATTTGTCATTTTCATTCTTCCATGAGGCCAACCGTTCGTCAAACGCTGCCTGGAAATCAAGCAAACGGAAAATAAAGTCATTATGTCATTACAGGACGGGAAGCAAGAAAATATACAAAGTTTATGATTAACCCTATTCCTGCGACCGGGGGGAACGCTCGATAAGACCCTCTCTATATCTTCAAAACCGCTCAAGCTACGACCACCAAACTTTAACAGAATAATGTACTCATCATTTCCAACTTCTGGGCATATGATTAACACAATGACCTAATCAGACGTCATTATGACGCCAGACTGTCGAATTTATTGGCAGAATCTAAATTTCCCTCAAAGTACAAATTAAACGAAAAATACGTAGATAGTAAGGTGTTTGATAAAATCAAGAAGTTGGCTAACATATAAATAACCTTTATCAATAGCAGTGATGTCACAGTGACGTTATTTATTACTAAAAAGGGACTGGAAGCATCTACCATCTTGGATCCAGCATTTTGAAGTATTTTAATTTACTCCATTTTACTTAAAACCGGTAAAAATCGAGGAATTTTTGACAGGAAACATAATCTGAGTATAAAAGGATGCTTAGTAACCAAAAAAATCTACAAATATGCAATTTCGAGGGAAATGAACACTGTTGAAAATTAAACTCAGCATCTTCCATTTGGTCATATTGACTTATGTTTTTTTTTTCTCAAACTATTCACTAAAAATCCTGGATTTCATCAACAGTGACACTAACTTTGATAAAATAATGCCAATTTAAGTGTACTACAATAATTCCATTGATAAAAATAGAATTGAAACCTATTTTTTAAGAAAAAAATGCAAATTTTGAAAAACATGGCAGAAAACCTTCCAAAACCTTTTCTAGTCGTCTCATTTCACACAAACACACCTACTAAAAAGATAAAAAAGAAAAAAAAAAGAAAGAAAACATGCTTTTCAAAGTTCAGTCGTCGTTGCTTATGACGCCTCTTGAAAAAGTTGCATAAAGTATCAAAGAATTTCTCTCCATTGCAGAAGAAGCTAAGGGATACATTGTTGTAGATGTTCACTAAGCTTACCGTAAGTTCTCTCATGACCTTCTCAGTTGTAACAGCTGATAGTCCAGATGTCTCATCCTCCAAATGAGCGACCCCCTTCTCAAGAGCTGCGTCATGATTTTGTCGAATGACGTCATTGTCACATGGCAGGCGGCCTGACAGCTCTGAGTTCATCAGAGAATCGTAAATGGCCAATGCTGCCTGCGATGCCTCTGTGCACTTTACCCCTACAAAAGTATCCCAAGCTGATTGTAAGCTTGGCACTGCACCAGGGGTATTTATAGCTTCCACGTACAGCTGTACTAGAGCTGCAAGACCTGAAAAAAGAAAATTAGGAATTTTAAAAATAATTGCAAAGCGACTTATAAGGGCTAAGTCACGCTATTTTCTATCTTTTTGTTTTGTTTTTAACTTGTCCCCACGTCAATTAAACTTCCAAAAATAATGGTCCAGCTTTGTTATTCAAGATCGCTGATATTCAGGCATTGAAACTGCTTCCTGTCGTCTGTTCCAAAGGATGGTAAGGATGGACATGGATTGAAACTTGAAAAAGTTGGGTCAGCTTTTTTAACTCTTAATGATATGCCTGCAAAAATCAGTGTTACTGTTCCCTGATGAAATTCGTTTGGAATCTCCC